AGAAATGCTGAGCGAGTTCGGCCCTTTTGATTTTCTGACTCTAGTTCCTCATGTGACCCGTTTATTTGGGAACCTAAAAATCATATAGTGGGAAAAACTCCAACTTAAGAACAGTAGTTTCACAGAGTCATATAGGCTGTCAGGATTTAGAGTTTTAGAGTGAGGATATATCGAAAATAAGTATTATTCAAGTTCATGTGAAATAATCAAATGGGCAAAAATTATATGGATATATTTTAAAGAAACAGCATATTTGCTTATTATTTGGTGTCTTTAATTTGCTGCATTAGTCAATTTTGGTAATTTATGATTTCCTCAAAAACAGTGCATTTGTGAGAAGTTTAGCAGCACACAATTATGTTAATTTTTAAGAATATTTTCTTTTAAAAAAATCTTTTCTTTCTCATTCGTATATTTACATTTTTCAGCATTAATTGAATTTGTCGGTTTATTTGCTCTTATTTTTCTCATTCAAAGGCCTAACCCTCTTTATTCAGTTGCTGTGTTAATTTTTAACATAATTTCTACTTACCTTCTTTGAGCTTTTTAAAAAAGTTAAATTATTCTTTGCTTTTGTTCTTTAGGAAAGGAATTAAGGGCTATGAATTGCAGCTTTGGGCATAGCCCATGAATTTTAGTGTGTAGTTTTCATTGTTTTGTTTTCTTTTTTCCCAATTTTTAGGTTTTATTGGTCTTTGTTTTTATAACTTGTAAACGTAGAGTTTAATCATTAATTTCTTGGTTTTACTGCCTTGTGATTATGTAATAGAGCCTTTATATACGTTTTTCTCTTTTAACTCAGAATCTCTTTTTCTTAAAAGTCTTTTGAGCTGGATTTGGTGAATCATTTTTATCAATCTGATTTTATCCTGGGCTTTCTCAGATTCATTTGAGTCACAAGGACTTGCACATTTACAATATCCAAACTCTGACTCACTGTACAGTAACCCCGTTGGAATTCTGAAACTTTACTAAGGTTCTTCACTTATGCAACATTACTACATTAAATAAGATTTGGATGTTAAATCTGGTATAATTAGTCAAATAAAGGGAATATTCTTATTGTTTGCAGTTTGGTTCCTTTTTCCTAAAATTAATTTAAAAGTTATGGCTATCCCCATATATTCTAAATATTCGCATATATTCCCATATATTCGCAGCATATATTCTAAAGGCAAAGCAGAAATCCAGGTTTCTTATCCCAAGACCTTTTATCTAGCATAGTTTTTTGGTTGTATGATGAATAGAGTTAATTTACTTTCTCAGAAATATGAATGCATTTGTTATAAAAGATAATTTTTTCCTAGTTAGTTAAAATCTACCTATGAATTGTGTTGGGCATTAATACAGATGTAATGATTCATGTTCCGAATATGATTAATTATAGTCTAGTTATGTTAAGAGTTCCTGTTCCTGAAAGACGGGTTTCAGATGTTTTATGACAAGGTTGTAATGAATACTCAAATTGATCAGCAATCTGGAAAAATTGGAATTTCATAAATATATTAGTATATTTTTTGCATGTTAAAAGCTTTAGATAATTGCTTGATAAGGAAACTGTTTAACTTGGTATTTCCTAAATTTATCTGAGAGGGCTTTTTTTTCTTGCAGGGTGCCTATTAATATTTGTCAAATCAGTGAGAACATCCATTTGGGATAACCTTGTAATTAGAAGATTATCTAGTCTTATCTGTGTTTAATATCTATCTATAAATAAAAATAAATATAACATATTTTTAAATAAAGAAGTAGCTTTATATTCCTAATAACTTTTCTGTAGATTTTTCCTTTTTATATCTAGTCTAGCTCTAACACTGTGCTGTTAGCTATGAATTTGGATCTTCATTGCTGATACCTAGATCTGCTTCATCGAGAAATAAAGAATTTCTTTAACCATTTTTTTCTTTTAAAAATATTCCTTTATGCTTTTTTTAAAATGTCTATTAATTTGGCACATAAAAAAATCTAGGTTTTGTATTGGTCATTAAATATAAGCTGATTACTGTTATTGGTGTTTTTAAAGAAGAAAGCATCCAGGGATGTTTTAGTCATGCTTTAAAAGTGTATACAACAATAGTGTTGTGACTTTTTAATACTAATCTCTTTAGGATTAGTGAAGACAAGTGTTATCTAAATGAATTTCACTTCACTTCACTGTGGGCCGAAGTAGAATAAAGTCCTGAATTAAGGTACAAGAAAAGATCAAGAAATCATTATAAGCTATTGCATAAATGCTTTATCTCTCATGTGTCCATGGTTTGAGAAAGAAATCTATTTTGTTTTCTGCACCTCAACCAAAATACTGAAGAGGGCACTCCAACAGCAGAAGAGGTTAAAATGTACAAAAGCCTTCTGCTGGAGGGAAAAGAGCATATAATATTTTTTAGACAGTTAAAGGATAAAGCATGAGTTCTGAATACCATAAAGCCAGCAAAAGACAGAAACCTATGAAAGAAGGAAAATGAAATTTTTTTCTTTTGTTCTAACAGAAGTGACAAAAAAGTGGAAAAGCTACACCTTGCTAAAGACATAAAACTCATTAAGACCTAGGAAAGCAAGGCTGTCCTGTTGGGTTTTTCTTTCACATTGTAGTATATGGAATAAATCTATGCTGTTGTAATGATTTTGGGATAACAAGCGTACTCGAACATTCAGTGAATGCCTTTTAAAACTGGAAGCTATTTATTTGACAAAGGAAGTGTCCTTGTTAAATATATAAAGAGACCCAAGAAGATGAATTCATAGAAGCCTCAGAGGATTAGGGGATAGCCATAACTTTTAAATTAATTTTAGGAAAAAGGAACCAAAAATGTCTTCTACAGAAAACCTAGTATAGTTGCTGATGCCAGTGTGACCCAGCACTGTATTTCTTAAGTTGTTGACCTGCTAGCATTTTTCTGTAAGTATTTGTCACTATAAAATCTCACTTTCTGTGAAATGAAAAGAAAAACAATGAGGCCAATTTTCATTTTAATAATTTTTCAGACTTTTGATGATCCTTATAAAATATATGCATTTAGATCACAGTTGGTATGCAGATAATATTAAAAATTAGAAAAAATTTTAAACTATATATACTTGTATATGATATAGTCTGATGTTTATCAACTTTTCTGCTTAAAAAAATACTGATCAGGAAACACTGCCTTGGTTTTTACAACCTGTTAATGTGTTAGCAACTGCTGTTAAAGGTGAAACAAGCAAGCTGGAGCATTAGGCCTGTGTGTATAAACGGCAGCCAAACAGCCATAGACAACCTTTGAAATAATTGTAGCACTTTTATGGTAAATTCTTTAAAATAACACTTCAGTGATTTATTGTTAAAGATTATTTATAAAATCATTCAAATTTTAATCCATAAAAGTATTTTTAGTAACCTAATGAATCAGCACAGCATTAAACTTTTTTTAATAAAGGTTATCATTTTACCTTAAAACTCAATTTAAGAATTTGATTAGATTATCAAAAGTGTAAGAAAAGTCATACTAGGTGGATTAAAGACGAGCAAGATAAAACTAGTAATTCTAATTTGGGAGAGCTTTTACATTGATAATAGTGCCCTATTGTCTTGTTTTATTTTGTTTTAATGTTAGAGTCACCAAAAGCATCGCATATTACTGTGTAAAAATACACAAAACTGTAAACTTGCTGGAAAGCCATTTTTTTCTTTTGAGTTGTTATAAATTTTTAAAATTTTAAGTTGTGTTTGTCACACATGTATTTTATGTCCTTATTTTTGTTATCATTTAAGTTATAAACAACAAGCTTTTGTGTTTAAATTCCTGAATATGTTCAGATGGAATTACAGTAATGTGTTATGGCTTGGGCCCCTCGCAGGAGTGTATCTCGCAGTCAGCAGTGAAAACAAAGTTTGAGCAGCACACTATCAGAGCTAAACAGATACTAGAAACTGTGAAAAATATAATGGATTCAATAAACGTGGCAGCAGCCGAGAAAAGGTATGAGTTTGCTTTGTTCCATTATAAAAAGTGGTAGTGCTTTTTTTTTGTGTCAGTGTGAATTCCTGAAACTAAAGCTTTTAATTGTTATAAATACATTATTCACACTAGCGTCAACCTTATGGTTTATTTGATACCAACTTGCACATTTTAAAAATACTTGAAATGGTAAATATGAACTCTTAGATATATTCCCCGAATCTCAGTATGAATTGTCATTTCTTAAATTGGTAGTGCTTTAAAAACAGTTGAAATTTTTCAAGCAGAATTTTATGCTGAAGTTCAGGTCAGTGATTCTGTTTTTGTGATATCCAGCTTACCACCATTCTTTCATGTATTTATACATTGACACCCTCAAATAATGCTGTTGTGCCACTTGTCATTATTTTTATATTGGCTGATGAACAAGCAAAGTGATAACTCCTTGCTAGCCAGAAAGGCATTTTGGTAAGCTACTTATCTATCATACTGTAGTACACTGTTTTATTCAACTTACTGCTTTATGAAGAATGAAAATAAATGCATGAAAGTGCTAATCTCATTAATGAGAAAATGTAATTTTTACAAATTTGAAATCAGGATATCATTTGAATGTGAAAAAGCAGTATTAAACTTCCTTTGGATCTTGTGTGGATTTAAGGCACTTGAAGGAAAGAAGTACATTCAGCATTTAGTCCATGGTGAGGAATAATGGGGAATTTAAAATTTAGTTACTTTGGCTGGGAATAAAATCCCATCTATCTTGCTTTATTATTATTATTATTTTTTAAATTTTGGTCAGTTCCTCAGGAATGAATTATGTCCAAAAGTAGAGAATCTGTAAGACACAAGAGTGACACAATTAAAATTTTACATTTTTTTAAAAAAGACACAGGAGTGAGAATCCAGAGTCTACTCTCAGCCCCTCTGAGGACCCCTATAAACCAACCCAAATATACTGCTGCCAAGTCAGTTCTGATTGCTTGAGGATCTATAGGACAGAGGAGAGCTGGCCCACAGGGTGTCCAAGTCTATAAAACTTTACAGAAGCAGATTGCTTTAGGGCTTCTTTGTCCCTCTGAGACTGTAGTCCCTTCAGCTCAATTACTCTACACTTGCTTTAGTATATGAATGGTTATCTGATTAGTCATATTGTTCTTTAATACAGAACATTGAACTTAAGATGGCACAAAGCAAATAAGAACTGAGGATAGTTTGTACGATAATAAATAAATGTCTTTCTGAAAAAGGATCTCTGTTTTTGTTTTCCTCTGATATTACACAAGGGGCACCTTCTGTAAAGAGCCAAATAGTATTTTAGACCTGTGGGCCATAGAGTCTCTTGTAACTACTCAGGTTTGCAGTTGTAGCACAATCAGCCAGGATAAATGAATGAATGCTGGTGTTTTGAGAAAGTTTTAACAGAAATCAGGAGATGTCTTGATTTGACTTACAGGCTGCCTTTTCTTGATGGCTTTTTTATGATAGTTTATCTGTGTAGTGTTTGGGGTCCTGGAATCTTTATCGACTCCTTTTAGTGTTGAGGTGCCTCATAGGCTTAGCTGATACCAAGTCATCTAGAAAAGATTTTATAAATGGAATATTTGAACTCTTTAATGTTGAAATATCAGATACTTTTTTCTTGTATCATATTAATGAGTAGATTAATACATAAAAGCTTAATTGCTCTGGGACTTTAGTATATATCCAGAATATTGAATATTAATAACTCTTTATACTATAATAGAGTATATTCAATGGAAGAGAGGGAAGACCAGATTGATAGATTGGACTTTACTCGAAACCAGATGAACCTCTTAACATTGGATGTCAAGAAGAAAATCAAGGAGGTTACAGAAGAAGTAGCAAACAAGGCAAGTGACAGATGTCTTTAAAATAGATAAAATTTAAACTTTTTATAATTTTTATATTTTATTATAATTTTATTTTTATAATTTTCAAGAATTCCTGTCACTATAAACGTTTTTTAAGTGGGGTTTGCGTTTTTTTTTTTTGTTACTTTTCAATTAGATTTTTTTTTAGTTATTGGTAGTTTTGTTAATTTATTCATGATCTCTGGATATTTATACTTTTTCAGGTTTCATGTGCAATGACTGATGAAATTTGTCGACTCTCTACTTTGGTTGATGAATTTTGTTCTGAGTTTCATCCTACTCCAAGTGTATTAAAAGTCTATAAAAGTGTAAGTTAAAATCTAGTTTAATAATTCAAAGACAGTTTCCTCACCTTATACTCTTTATTTAGAGGTTTGGGCAAAAGCCAAATACACTAAAAAGTGTATTCATGGCAGAATTAAACTATTAAATCTTCATAATAAATGTGTGCTGTGTTGCTAATAAAAGCACACAAAACAGTTACCCATTCATGAATGAGAATAAGATCATTGTAACATGGTGTTATTAAAATCTACAGTACTCTCTGGAGGAAAAGTAATGTGCACATTTACTATGTTGGCAGAAGTTAAATAAACACATAGAAGATGGTATGGGAAGGAATCTGGCTGATCGGTGCACCAATGAAGTCAATGCCTCCATGCTTCAGTCCCAGCAGGAAATTATTGGTAATATTTATGCCCACAAGGTCACATGTGGTCTTTTGTTTTTTTGTTTTTTTCTTTCGTAATTACAGGTCTTATTTTTCTTTGGATAGTCTTAGAAGGCAAAAATTTTGTCCTGTTGTTTTATTGTAAATAAATGACCATATTTTTGTTTTTTTCCCAGAAAATTTGAAGCCGTTTCTTCCATCTGATGTACAGAATAAACTACATACACTAATCCCTTGCAAGAAATTTGATCTCAGCTATGACTTAAATTGCCACAAGTTATGTTCAGATTTTCAAGAAGACATTGTATTTCGTTTTTCCATGGGCTGGTCCTCTCTTGTCTATCGTTTCTTGGGGCCTACAAATGCTCAGCGGGTGCTTCTAAGATTGTCAGAGTCCATCTTCCAGGTGATTATCTTTATTCTGCCAATTGAGAATCTTCTTGTTTTAGTGATGTGATTTTGTCTAATAGGAGGTTCTGATGGTATAGTCAGCAGGGAATTACACCATTAGCCCAAAGACCATACCTCCCGGTAGTTTGAATCCACTAGCATCTCTAAGGGAGAAAGATGGGCAGTCTGTTCTTTTTTAAAAAAAATTTGTAATGATTATATTTCTCTTTTTTTTGTGATTCGTTTTTTAAATTATTAATTTTAATGAAAATTTACAGAGACTTTGGATTTCCATTCATTCATTATTCTACTTTTCTCCCTGCCTACCCTTCCTCCCCCACCCCAGTACACTCTTCTCTTTGAAAAGTAAAAGAAAAATTCATTGTTTTACAATCCCTCCCCCCAGGTTCACTCCACTATGCAGCATTTGTTCTGGACTCCTGTCATGACAAAGATACCTAATCACGTATCCCTTTTAAACTGTTGATTCAGTGACTGGGGTAATCGGGATGGGTGTGTCAGAGGCAGTGCAATTGGCACAGGACAGAGCAGGGTTTAGGGCTGTTGTACATAGGGTTGCTATGAGTCGCAGGCGACTCGACAACACATAACAGCATTATTTCAGTAAAAATTACAGAGTCTTTGGATTTCCATTCATTCATTGTTGCACTTTAGCCCCTCCCAACCCTCTCCCCTAGTACACTACCCTCTTGGAAAAGTAAAAGAAAAATTCTTTTTTGTTTTACAAACCCTCCCCCAGGTCCACTCCACTATGCAGCCTTCACTCTGGACTCCTCTCATGACAAAAATAGCTAATCACATATCTTTTTAAACAGTTTCTCCCTCATCTGTTTCAATGCAGTATACATTATTGAACCCATCTTTCTCAATCTCCCCCCAACCCCGATGTCAGTTCTGGTTTACAACAGTGGCACCATGCAGTATTTGTCCTTTTGTGACTGAGATATTTCACTCAGCATAATGTCCTCCAGTGTCACCCATTTTGAATAATATTGCATGAGTGCCTTGTTTTTCAATGCAGTATAGTATTGTGTGAATATACCACAGCTTCTCTATCCATTCATTTGTTGATGGGCACCTGGGTTGTTTCCAACTCCTTGCTATTGTGAACAATGCTGTGATAAACATGGGTGTGCATATATTTGCTTGGGTGGCAGTTATGGTCTCTTTGGGGTATATTTCCAGTTTTGGAATTGCTGGATCAAACGGTATCTCTATTTGCAACTTTTTGGGAAAGCACCACACTGCCTTCCACAGTGGTTGCACCATTTTACACTCCCACCAACAGTGAATAAGGGTTCCAGTTTCTCCACAACCTTGCCAGCATTTGTTATTTCCTGTTCTGTTAAATTTTGCTATTCTAACTGGGGTGAGATGATATCTTATAGTTGTTTTGAGGCAGACTTTTCTTGTGTTGTTTATAGCCTTGGAAAGCCAGTAGGGGGTCAGCTATGAGTTGGTTCTAACTTCATAGTGATGAATTTGAGTTTACCTAATCTGCTGTTTTATTCTTACCTGTCTCATAAAACTATTTCTCAGTTAGATTATACAAAAGGAAAGGCCGAGCCTAAAACTTTTATCAAGTACTGTTAAAAGTGGTTTTGAAATTTCTCGTTTTGGGTTTATTGTAGTTGTCAATTTGATTTAACAAGGTGGCATAAGTGTAGTTATTGAATATTTTAAAATTACTGAATTTAATCAATTCAGTAATGTTAGGGATATTTATGGAATTGTAAAACCAGTACCAATCCAATTTTAGAATATTTCTCTTGTTATTTTTAGGTGCCATCGAGTTACTGCCAAAACTGTTTCCCAAACTGACTGCACCATTTTACATTTCCACTGACAATATGTATGCATAATTGTTTCTAATTGTTCCAGATTCTCACTATCATTATTGTAGTGTATGTAGTAAGTTTTATTGGCATTTTTCTAGTGACTGAAGAGATCAGGAGATGTATTGAACTGGGAAAACCTCTCTGTTATTGAGGAAAGTTTGAGGACTGAAGTGTGCCTGATTCAGGCTGTGGTTTTCTTATTTACTTGCTGTGCATCTGAAAGCTGAACAATGAATAAGGATGTCAGAAGAATTGATGCCTTTGAGTGGTGTTGTTGGAGAAGAGTACTGAATATCCCATGGACATCCAAAAAAAAACCCCAAACATGTTTTTGGAAAAGGTATAGCCAAAGTGCTCCTTTGAAGCAAAAATAACAACGCTTCATGTCCTTATAAAGGAAAGGTGAAGGATCAGCAAGAGAGAGAAAGACCCTTAGCCAGATTGATTGACACAGTGCCTGTAGCAGTGGGCTCATGTATGTCTGGGATTGTGAGGCTGGCACAGGATAAGATAGGGTTCAGATCTGTTGTTCATCGTGTCACTGTTAGTGCTGCTTGACTCAAAGGCACCTAACGACAGCAACAAGTGACTAGGGGATCTCTAGTAGTTTAGTTATTGATAAGGGATTGTGATGACAACCCAAAAAGATGAACCATCTCTTCCCATATGATTGATTTACTGGCTTTGAAAATCTACTGGAGGATCACCTATGGGTCGGTTCCAACTTGATGGTACAAACCAACAGTGACTAAGGATGTTGAGCCATTTGTTTTCTTTCAAGGGGCCATGCATATGTCTTTGGCGTATACCCAGGAATGAAATTACAGCATCTTAAGTGTTTATAGTTCTTGTTTCTAAAGGAAGCACCATATCTTTTTTCTGGATGAAATTCCCATAAACAGTTTAAAGCAGGGACTATTAGCAGAGTCTGAGGTTAACAGAAAGGAACATCCTGGAGAGTAGTTTTATGGTTCTGTGCTTACTGATTCCATAGCTGCCATTTAAGCTTTGCCTGCTTTCCACTTGTATCTGGTCTTCTTGATTTGAATCTGGCTTTTCTCAATATCTTATTGTACCTTCTGTTTTTTAAACCTATTTTATTTTCTTCATGTATTTATAGCAAACTCATACATTTAATTTTCTTCTCATAGAGGGAGCTCTAGTGGCTTGGTGGTGAGGAGTTGTGCCTCCATTCTAAAGGAACATAATTCAAATCCACCAGCTACTCTGAGAGATAAGTATGGGCAGTCTCCTCCTGTACAATTTACAGCTGCTTAAAACGCCCTGTAGGGTCAGCTGTGAGGCATTTCTGACTGACTCAGTGCCCCATAACAAGCAACAAATGGCTAGCGATTTTGACAATCTTCGATTTTGACAATCTTTTCTTGTGTTTCTTGGCCACTTGATTGTCCTCTTTGGTGAAGTGTCTGTTCATGTCCTCTTCTCATTTTTTAATAGGATTATCTTTTTATTATTGAAATTTCCTTTATTTTTATATTTTAGAGATTAGACTTAACAGGTAGTTATTGTGATTTTACTATTTTGATAAAATATTTTGATGAGCATAAATGTTATATGTTATCCTATTTTTAAAAACTAAATACCATCTAATTTTTTAATTGAATTATTGGTAGTTCTTATTTGTTGTTAAGTCAAAATGGACTCATGGCTAACTCTCCAGTGAGTTTTCAGAGGCTCTAAATCACACTTGAGGGGATTACTCCCTCGGGAGGTGTGGTGCATTTGATCTGCCTACTTTTGGGTAGCGTGACTCCTTACCACTAGGTCAACAGAGCACCCTTATTGAAACAGAAAGTTTTTATTTGTTAAGTCCTATTTATTTCTCTCTTTTTCTCAGTAGTGTGCTTTTGATGTGACTTAGAAAAATACAATTTTATTTTTAAGAGCCTGAGAGTCTGCTGTTACAGTTAGGTTCCACTGTACATTAAGAACATCTTTTGCCCGTGCTGTAGAAAATAATTTATAAACCCATTTTATTTTTTAATATGTTTATGGTATGGTAAACTCAGTCTAGGGGCATTTCTTGCAGAACTTAAAATAATGAAAACTTTTGCTGAGTGCTTGCCCCTGGTATTTTGTAAGCATACTGTGCTAATATTTTTACAGCAGTGCTTTAAAAATTTATTACAGTGCTTATGAAAATACCTCACAGAGGGGAGGGCACACTTATTCTACATTTGGCCAGATGGTGTTTTCATACGAATTTAATACTACTGTAATTTTAAAAGAAAGGCCATGAATGTCGTAAATGGAACTGTTTTATTTGTAGTTACTTAACAGTGATAATTTTTTGCCTCTTACCAGCCCCCTAGATCTTTAGCTTCTACTCCTACTGCTTCTGCCAATCCAGCAGTGCCAGGAGCTGCATCACAGGAGGAACTTATGGTTGCCTCAATAACAGCATTAGCTTCTCTTACATCTAGGACTTCTATGGGCATCATTATTGTTGGAGGAATGGTAAGAAACATTAATTTCTAGTTTAACTACAGTGTGACTATTCTATCTTAGAGATTATGAAAAGAGTATATTTGCTTCCTAATACCTGACATTTTTAAAAATTTATGGGTCAAAGTAATGAATGTCGAAGAGTTTCACAGGTTTAATTTTATATTTTATCTTTAGGAAAGAAAGACCAACCAGCTGGTCTCTAACACAGTGCTTCCTAACAATTTTCAAATCACAGCTCACAAATTGTATTGGTACACGGGAATAACAAAGAGATCAACTTGTTGAAACTTTTAAATCCTTATTAAAAAGATCTAACTTAAAAAATTTTTTGTCCTGATTATTTTATGTTAAGATTATTTTTTCTCATTAACAGCATAGATTTACCCATGTAGCTTTTTCTCAGTTTTTAGTTTGTTTGGGTTTTTTTCTTATTTTGATTTTAACGAAAGTTTGTGGAAAAGTTGGATTTTCATTCATTCATTGTTGCACATTTTCCTGCCTACCCACTCCCATTTACTGTTTTGGAAAAATATTCCATCATTGTTGGGTAACTTCCCCCTCCCCCAGTCTCAGTCTTTTTTAAAAAAAAGAAAACCCAAACAAATGATACGTTGCCTCATTCTACCAAATAGTTGGCAGGCTATAGAAGTTTCTGACCAATACCTAATTAAATTAGTCAGGCTGTGTTTCCTTCTTAGCCTGATTGATTTCTTATAATTTCAGATATTTTTATGGAGAAAGAATATGATTTTTTTTTAGACAGTGGATCATCTGGTGCAAAATCTGTAGAGAGCGGATACATTTCTAATCTCTTGGGGGTTCCTGGCTGCCCACCATTTTTGTTCCTACCTGAGGGTTGGCTGTTCAGTCCCAGCCAGAGTTCCTTGAAAGACAGGCCTAGTGATCTGCTTTGACAAAGTCACGGCTTGAATTATCTGTGAAACAGTCCTACTCTGCATACATGGGGGTCACTGTGAGTCAGAAGCAACTTGATAGCAACTAAAAATACCATCAATATAATCTCCCAAATGGAGTTTTTCCTTTCAGTGTGAAGTTTGACTTTATCTTACAGATTTGGAAAACTGTAGGCTGGAAGCCCATATCTGTTTTGTTAAGTGTGTATGGAGCTTTGTATCTTTATGAGCGACTGACCTGGACCACTCGTGCCAAGGAGCAAGTCTTCAAACAGCAATTTGTGAACTATGCAGCTGAAAAACTGCAGATGATTGTAAGCTTCACTAGTGCAAACTGCAGCCATCAAGTACAACAGTAAGTTGGAACATGTATCTTTTGTTAAAGTTCTATTGAAGTAGGATCTACATGAGGAAAAGGGAAAAATAAGCAAGCATGTATCTCAGAGAATCATCATAGAATAATTTTTTAACTATCACCAAAGTGAAGAAATAGAATACTAAACTTAGTAACTTTACCTTTGCCCTCTCTTTGCCCACCCTTCTATCTCCTGTTAGAGAGATTCAGACATTCAAAGATTGGTGGACAGAAAAGACCTCGTTTGAACTTGAGGTTTTTCAAGAGATGTTTCTCAGCAGACTCATTCTGAACTGAAGTAAAATAACTAGTATTTTTAATGGACAGTCAGTTGACTTTGTAAACTTTCACTCAACTTTTTAAAAGGATCATTGTAAATTCTGAATTATAAAAGCAGAATTCTTACCTGTTAAAATTTGCTCACAATAATGAGCAGGCATCTCATCTTTAGTGACCGTAATTTTTAAAATTTTATTTTATATTGGTTTGCGTACAGAATTCATATATTTTGTGTTTCATTCATGCATAATTTATTTTTTTAATCATTCAGTTTAGTGTTATAATTTTCAGAAACCAAGGGATTTATTATAATATAATAAATAAGTATTATCAGTTTGTAATGTAATGCTTTTAAACATAGTAGAATTAGTAGACGTGTAGAATTCTAGTTGTCAGGATACATTGTTGGGATAAATTAAAAGTCTCTGAATTTAAGATGATTGTAATGATACATGATTAAAGTTATCTTACAAGGTTAAATTGGTAAGTAATAGGAAAAGAAGATAAAGTAGTCTCATAAACAAAACCCTAGGAAGTTATATAAATCATGAAGGATAGTGAATAAGTAAAGATTTCCTGGAAATCTTTTCTTTTCCTGGAAAAGAGGTAGGAGATGAGATTTGAACCAGAGTTTCGTATCTGGCTGGCCATAGCTGACCCTGCGAAAGCAGAAGACACTCAAATTAGTAAAATGGAGGGGTACCAGAATGGAGGGGTGATCACTCACTGGTCATAGCCCTGGAGTAAGAGATTTGGAAGAGGTGTAGTGAATCCAATGTGGAAGATTGGGTTAATCCCATGACAGTGGAGAGTGGCATATTCAGAATTGCAGTCACCATCTTTGAGCCTGACATTACACTTTCAAAGACTCTTCTTAAGAGATTTTGTTACTAGGCAACGTATACATTGCCCTTCTTACTGTTAAAGGAGATTAATTTTCTAGCAAGGTATCCATTTATATTTTTTTTTATCTTTCTGGTATACCCACATTTTACAAATCTAGTTCATACTCTGATTTTGCTTGTTAGCCATCACTGAACTGGTCTGGTAAGAAGCAATTCCGAGTCCCGACTTGAACACACAGGATAAGATCAAAAAACCAAACCAAAACAAAAACAGCCCAATTTGAGGCAAGAAAGAAGATAGAGGGAAGAATGTATACCTTTTTTTTAGGATATGTTCTCAAATATGGAAAGAATGTCATTGTAGCAGATCTATGTGTAAAGGGAGTATATTTGCTACAATTACAATAAACCCCAGTATTGGGTTTGGATTATTAGGCATCTTGGGAGTGATACTATTAACACTTAACTAAAAAAGAAAAAAAAATAACTTTCTAGTTATTTGATAATGAAACCTTTATTAATCATCCACCATGTAGCAATGCTAGGAGCTATGGGAAAAGTTTATAGTAACTTCATCCTATTTCTTAAAGGACTTTATACTCGAATAATAGTGACATATTTTATGTTTTCTTGATTACTGGGATTTGGGGAAGAAAATGAAGTAGAAGACAACTAGAGAAAATGAAGATTTTTATGGAAATGGTTGGCAGAGAACTGTAAATAGGCAGACATGACAAGAATAATCCCAGCTATGAAAAGACAAACATAATGTTTGCCAAAGTTGGTGTATTTCCTTCTGCACTAATTAAATATAACACTTTTTCATCTAGAAACAGTTAAATTTTTTATTTTTTTCCATAATACCGTTCATAGAATTATCTTTCCTGGTTTTCCATAATTTCTTGTTTTTATAGAGCAGGAAATAAGTAAGGTTTATTGTGCTTCTGAAGAAATATACTTAACTTGTGCCTTTTTGATAAATTATGCACATCGGTATAATACAGGTAATACTAACTTTTTCAAGTATTGTCTTAAGCCCAAAGGATATAGTCATCTGTAGTCATATTAAGTTTACAAGTACCATGCCCTCTTTAGTACATTCTTATCAGTATTTTTTTTTAAGTTATTTTTTTGTGTGTGTACTGTCAAATCAGATCTGACTGGTACAGGAGGAGATTGTCCCTCATTCTCAGCAGGGCATCTGGTGGATTTAAACCACACACCTCTGGGTCTTATCAGTATTTTTTTAATGCCACTCTTTAATTCCTTTTTAATAATTGTAGTTACCTTTGTATTTAAGCATTAAAACATACTTTTTATTATAAAGACATTCATGACTGCTGATAAAATTGTTTTTTGTTTTAAGGGAAATGGCAACCACTTTTGCTCGCCTGTGCCAACAGGTTGATATTACTCAAAGACATCTGGAAGAGGAAATTGTGAGATTATCCAAAGAAATAGATCAGCTGGAGAAAATACAAAATAATTCAAAGCTGTTAAGGTATTTGTGCTTCTTTCCCTCAAGAATATGAACATTGGTATTCTCAGTACAGAAATATAGTTGTATAAAATCACTAGTGAATTTCTGTTAAGTTTTTCTACATTTTCTGCTGACTTAAATTCAAACTTCTCAAATCAAATCTTTTGTAGTTTCATGAATACTAATTGAAAAAACAAGAGAAAAAGTCTTTAAGAAGGCCTATTTCATTACATTCCCCTAGGCTCATATAGAGAATATGAATAAAAAGACATTTTATAGACCTGTACTTGTAACTCTGTGTATGAGTCCATTTTTAGACCAGTTCTGTAATTAAAAATATATGGACTTTTATACATATATATCCCCATACCTGTTTTCTCATTAGGCACCACTGGGTATACTTAAATTTGAGGCCAAAAGTAAATAAGATTTCCAGTCGTAATGTAGAATTTTCTGATACAGTGTTGCTTACTAATAGATTCTTTAGGTCTTATTTTTTGCCTTTTTGGACATGAAATCACTATAAAGGCTGTACTTCTTGACAGTTCTTAGCATCAATTAAACTCTTGTCAGGACTTAAGCTCCATGTAGTTGCCCTTGAGACTTGAATTTTGGGGCATATATGAAAACATTTTAATAATGTTTTACGCACTGTCTTGTAATCTCATCAGTATTCCGTTTCAGAAACTTTGGGAATACTGACTTCCTGCTAGTTAACTGAGCTAGAACCAACCTCCCTTCCCTCACCCAGGGGACTATCATGCCTTATTTTAAGTTACATCACCCCAAGTATACCCTTCAAATTTGATGAAGAAGTAGCATCCCGTTGTTTTAGTTTCAAGTTTTGTTTTTATTTCAGCAGGTTTTAAAATCGTGTTTCATATTATCGTAAAACATAAATGATAAAGTCAAAGTCCTTGCTGGTGAGTTGAAAACCAACTCTTAGCTGATCCTCCAGCGAGTTCTCAAGGCTGTAAATCACACAAGAGGATATTGCCCATCTTTCTTTAATGGAGTAACTGCCAGAAAGGCATGGTTTAGGAGCGCAGCTGCCTATGGACTCAGCCACTAGAAAGCCCAAATGATATTTATTCTGTGTTTCCAAATTTTGATGAATTCACATGAATAATTTTTAATATTTTAGATCTGCTGATACTTTTTATAACAGGAAAAATTTAAAAATTAATACCATAACATCTGATGTTTTCATTGTGACTGGGTTAGGTTTGGCCATTGAGATAACAGTTCACTGATAACTTTAGGAGAGCTGACTGGGAAAAATACCTTATATCACATTTTCCATATGCACTTAGCAAAAATACGGAAGTAAAAATAGTTGTGTACCCTAGCATAGTATGAGAATGGGAGGCAAGACTCTATGTTCTGCAAAATTTTGTTCCAGTTGTCTTAGAGAATTTGACTTGGCAGGTATGATTCTAGTGTTTACAGGAAATATTGTTGTACTCTGTAACCCTTTCACATAAACCAGCTTCTTTGTGTAAACATTAAAATCACTTATGCTGTTCATTATGGTGTACAAAGGGAATTTCTGAGGGCAGTTTTACTGTGACTTTGTTTATGTACCAATTTTAGGATGTCACACCCATGTGAATTGTATGATCATTTTGTCTATCACATTTTTTATTTTTAAAGTTTTTATCCTTAATCATATTGTAACTTTTTTTAGTTCCTGGGCACAGCGATCAGTGTTTACTGCAAAGCTATAGTAGCACAAATAATAAATAATTTGGAAAATACTGATAATAGTTCAGAATATGAATTCAGATAAATGTAAACAGCATTTGGCTCATAAGGGGAATTTTCCCCCCTTTTAAAAAAAAAATAGAATGCATTTTTCTCATTGATCTTTATAATTAGATTGCTGTTTTATTCCTTTTTTAATTAGAAATAAAGCTGTTCAACTTGAAAATGAGCTGGAGAATTTTGCTAAGCAGTTTCTACATTCAAGCAGTGAAGAATCTTAACAGTAGTGATTCAGTGGTGATGAAAAAGGAGAACAAATCTTGGAAGACTGGAGCAATTGATATTTTTATGGAATGACTTTGAATGTGAATTATACTAATTGTATCTATGTAGCAAATCCCTGTGTAGAATCTAGCAATGATTTCTCTCAGGGCATTGTATTTCTGAAGAGTGTTAAAATGTGTTGATATCCTTAGTTTTCATTTTGGGTAATGGAAAAGCCAGGTCTTTTTCTATGTTAAAATAATAAATTACTACTTCAAAGAAATAGAATCAACCAATTCTGTAGCCCTGAGGGGTGGGGCCTGAGCTCTTAATTAGGGCTTTCTTGGTTTTTGGTTCTGAAAAGCTCTGCTTCCTGGCATCCAGGAATTAGAGAATGCTCCTTTCATCTTCTTTCTCAGAACTAATTTTGATGCCTACTCTAATAGGAATAGTTACTTTATATACATATATATTTTTTTTTCCTTGCTCTAGTCACCAAGCAGGACTATGGAATACTCAAGACTATTATTTGTGCAAATTACAGTCACTTTTGCACTTATGGTAGGTTTGTATACCAATAAAAAATAGACTCTTGATCTTCTATTCCCATTAAATTTGATCTAAAACAGTATAACAGTTTGTTACTTCAAATAGTTGCTAATCTGGTCCTAAATAGTTTCTGATATGTTTCTAAAGAAACCTTTTAAGCTTTGCTAAAACTGTGATCCCAGTAAGAAGAGCAGCTCTCTCAGTTTTCAGTGTACAGTTTGAAATAATAAAAATAGCCAAAGATACACAGAGGTCTGGATTTTGAATAATGTGCAAAAGCAATTCCTCAGAAAGGTTTTGCTGCTTAATATTGCTGAATTGGGAGCATGTACTTTTATTTAAGTGTGTGAAATTACCAGGGCTAGACTAAAAATTATAAATGCTTTTTTTTTAACCTTTGTGAGCTATTTATGGATTTAAGAAGTATTGTGTCTGTATCTGTGTGGAAAAATTGATTGTAGCAAATATGGAAATGTAAAAAGAAAAATTATATCATTCTGGGGCCTTGCTTTGCAAATATAGCCTGAGGACGAGCAGATATGCATCACCTAAAAGCATCTTAGAAATACACCATCCCGAGGGACCCAGTGCATGTAGCCAGGTGGTTTATGCTTCTGTTCTGCAGTAAGGATGGAATAGCAGACCTGGCCTTTGCAATTTTTTTTTTTTAATACTCAATACATCCTTTTCTGGACCTTGTAGGCTTCTGGATATTCGTTACTGTTTTCAAAGCAAGTACAACTTTTTTCCACGGTATTTGGGCTATAGAAGCCTTGCAAAAATACTTCCTTTTTTATACAAGTGAGATGAATAAAATGCAGTATTCAAATCCAAGTGAATATTAATTTATAGATTTTGCTGCTAATTTATATTCTAAATAATAGTATAGGCCACAATCAAGTAGGAGCAGTTATCACCTATAACAATGAAAAAACTGATATTGAACACTGTGTCGTGCTAATTTGGGTCACAACTTCAAAGGCTTTAAGTGTTATATAGAAAGTATTTGAACTTTTCAAACAGCAATGTAGTTTGGTGTCACCTCAGTGGTTCTTGAAGTTTGGTCCCTGGATCATCAGCATCACTTGGGACCTAGTAAAAAATGTAAATTAGATCTGCTCAGTCAGAAGCACTCAGGCTGGAGCCTAGCAGTCTCTGCCTTAGCAAACCCCCAGATGTGAGTCTCATGAATAGTGAAGTTTGGGGTCTACTTAGCAAACCCCCAGATGTGAGTCTCATGAATAGTGAAGTTTGGGGTCTACTGAAAGTCGGCTTAGGTATAGTGTGTCTTCCATAACTTGTTTGAATGTAGTTCCTACCTAATCAGATTTGAAAATGTATGGAAATGAAAATGTTGCAAGTGAAACACTAAATAAACCCCAGTCCTTATCCCTAAAGATAAATGTACCTCTCTGATCAAGCCTATGGATTATACAGAAATTATATCATTGACAGCTGAAATAGTTGAAAATAATTGCACATACACTTGGTTGTTTACTGTATTTCTTTGCAGGAATATTTATAAACTTTGTATAATCTTAAAACTTTTTACAAATAGTACATTTTTCATATGCAAGCATGCAAGCTTGCAAGGAAAAAATAAAATCTGTTAGCCTGGTTGATAAATGTAGTATTTATACTGCACGTGTCTACTGGTTTTCTTTCACTTATAATAATTTTTTACTATAAGTGTATAAATTATCTTAAGTAGACTGGCTTTTCGTATAACTGGCCAAATTCTTAGAATTTGTGTAAAAGTCTCTAGTTTTAGTTGTCATAAGACCACTGTCAGCATATTTTGAAATGTTTTCCTTATTAGTCTTGCAAATAAGGGTACTTCTCTAGTACATTTCCCTATCAGTAGTGCCATTTCCCATCAGTACCAGTCCCCTCAAAAGTGCCATGTCCCTCAGTGCCATGTCCAAGACTGGGTTTCCAAGGCTGTGAATCTCTTAAAAAGAGATTGTCAGCCTCTCTCCTTTCAAGGAGGGATACTCATCCCTTTGGGGAAGTAACTTATAAATCTATCTTTACAATTTAAAAAGAAAGAAAAATAGATAGTCTTTCTTCCTTGGACTTGCTGGTGGTTTTAAACCACCAGGAAGATGCGGCCTTGGAGTTAGCAGCATACCTCCCTACTGACTCGGCCACCAAAGCTCCCTGAAAGTACCACAGGGGAGCTTATTCTTGCCCTCTGCTTCAACCTATACGGCTGTGAATGTGAGCTCCCATTTTTAAAAATTGGATGGAAAAAAGCCATTATGGAAATTATTAAACAGACAAAATTGATCAGAAAAATCTGTATGTCCTGTCACTCATTTTTAACATGATGGACCTCCTCTTATTCAGTGACACTTCATTCCAAGCATGGTTCCTCTCCAAGGAATGGCTTCACCTGCCTACATGTCTGAAGTATGAGAGATGAAGCTTCCTCATCTTTGCCTCCAAGAAGCACTCTGGCTACCTGTACTTTTTTCCAAGACGTAACTACTTTTGCCTGTCCCTGGACTATTTAGCACTCCTCCAGCACCACAATTCAAAGGCATCAATTCTCTTATCATGATCCATTGTCCAGCTCTCTGATGCATAGCAGGTGATTGAGAAGAGATTCAAACTGACTGACTATGTTTCATTTTGTAGAGGTCCCTGACAGCAGACTTGTCCAATGTAATACATCTCCTGATTTCCTGACTGGTGATCAGGGGTATTGATTTCAAGCAAGATGAAAGAATTGACAGCTTCAGTCCTTCCCTATCTAACATAATGTTGATGATTGCTCTTATGTTGATGGTCTTCGTCTTTTTCATGTTCAAATGTAGTCCATACAGAAGGCTGTATGTAGTCCTTGATCTTCTGCAGCATTTCACATCCTCCTCACTTAGAGCAAACAAGGTTGTATAATTGTGTAACGTAGGTTGTTACTAAGTCTTCCTCCAATCCTAATCCCCATATTCCTCTTCATAGAGTCCAGCTTCACCAATTTTTTGCTCACAATCAGATTGAATAGATAGGGAGAAAGGATACAATACTGACTTACACTCTTCCTGGTATTCTCTGCTTTGAGCCAGGATCTATCTGACATCAGCAATGATATCCCTGGTGCCTTTGCCTCTTCTAAACCCAACTTCTGGTAGTTCCCTGTCAATGTTATTACATTAGCTGGTTTTGGATGATTGTCAGCAATATGTTGCTTGCATGTGATGGTAATGATTCTGTTCAATAATTTCGACATTTTGTTGGATAACCTTTCTTGGGAAAGGGGACAAATGAGGATCTCTGTCAGTTGGCCAGGCAACTGCAACTCTCCTCCAAATTTCCTGGCATAAACTGGTGAGCACATCCAGAGCTGCATCTGTTACTTGAAACATGTCTGTTGGTATTCTATCAACCTGGGCCTATTTTTTGCACTGGCATTTTACACTGCCTTCAGTGCAGCTGGACTAAATCCTTTATTACCATTGTCTCTTGTTCATACAGTACTTCCAGAAATTGTTCAGTGACAACTAATTCTTCTGGATACAATGATCCTGTGTATTCCTCCCATCTTTTGATGCTTCCAGGGTCATCAAGATTTTGCCCATAACATTTCAGCTCAACGGCTGACCCTCCTCCCTTCCAAGCATCATGTCCTTCTCAAAGGAATAGCACCTCCTAGCAATATGTCCAAAGTATGTAAGGTGAAGCCTCATCATTCTTGCCTCCAAAGAGCACTCCAGCTGCACCCTCTCCAAGAGAGGGTTTGTTCTCTTTGCTGTCCATGGGATATTCAGTGTTCTTCTCTAACACCACAGCTCAAAGACCAGTTCTTTTTCTGTCATCATTGTTCAGCCCTCGGATGCATAGCTAGTAATCAGACATCAGACTATGGCCTGAATCAGGTGCACCTTAGTCCTCAAACTGACATCATTACTCCTCAATAATAAAGAAAAGTCCCTATCTGTAGATTTTCCTATTGCAGTGTGTCTCCTTATTTCCTGACTGCTCATTCCAAAGGTATTAATTGTGAATCCAAGGAAGATGAAGCTATTGATAATCTCAATTTCCTCTCCATCCATCATGATGCTGCTTATTGGTCCAGTGGTCAGAATCTTTTGTCTTGACATTTAGATGCAATCCATACCGAAGGCTGCATTCCTAGGTCAGCAACAAGTGCTTCAGGTCCTCACTATGAGCAAGCAATGTTGTATAGTCTACATAATGCAAGTTATTGATGGGTCTCCTTCCAATCCTGATGCCACTCTCCATGGATAATTTGCTCAGCATATAGATTGAACAGGTATGGAGACAGAATACATCCCTGACACACTCCCTTCCCAATTCCAAACCATGCAGTGCTCCCCTGCTTCATTCACACAACAGCCTCCTGGTCTAGGTTCCACATGAGCACAATCAAGTGCTCTGGGATTCCCATTCTCAATGTCAGCCACAACTTGTCATGATCCACACAGTCAAATGCCTTTAGCCAGGA